TACTGAAAACTACAGTTGTGGTATCGTCTCGGCGATCTAGTGTTTTATACATCAACACGAATGTTCTACTGAAAACTACAGTTGTGGTATCGTCTCGGCGATCTAGTGTTTTATACATCAACACGAATGTTCTACTGAAAAGTACAGTTGTGGTATCCTCTCGGCGATCTAGTGTTTTATACATCAACACGAATGTTCTACTGAAAAGTACAGTTGTGGTATCCTCTCGGCGATCTAGTGTTTTATACATCAACACGAATGTTCTACTGAAAAGTACAGTTGTGGTATCGTCTCGGCGATCTAGTGTTTTATACATCAACACGAATGTTCTACTGAAAAGTACAGTTGTGGTATCCTCTCCAAAGTTATAAGAAAACATAAAACGGTAACTGTTACTATTTAATTTTTGCTGAGTTTCTACAATAGTAAACCTATCGGATTTGTTCTGCAGTAAGTCATTTGTTTAGAAAACCATTTGAAAAACATAATATCAGTATCAGTTTATTTCGTTGGAGCAGAATGTTCATATGGAGTTTAATAACTTGAGAGTAAAATCAGACATAAGATTGAAAATAGAGCTAATAACTTGAGAGTAAAATCAGACATAAGATTGAAAATAGAGCTAATAACTTGAGAGTAAAATCAGACATAAGATTGAAAATAGAGCTAATAACTTGAGAGTAAAATCAGACATAAGATTGAAAATAGAGCTAATAACTTGAGAGTAAAAATCAGACATAAGATTGAAAACTGTAAAGTTGACCATAATAAAAACGCAGAAAATAATATCCTGTTAATAACTACAGAAAATGAAATAGTAGTATTTTTTCTATAGTATGACACAGTTTCAACAACGCCCTCTAGTTCACAAGCGAACCAAATAAAAAAACACCTACCACATCAATCCAGATAAATGGCTTCATCGCCACTTACAAGTTGGAACTATCTGTCCTTACTAACACAAACTGGAACTACCTGCTCTAGTGGCACACTTTGGAACTATCCGCTTTCTGGCGTCATTCTGTAGAATTATTATGTCGTAGGATCTCTTCAGCCTCAAAGGATACCACCCAGCTGGATGACACCTTCTGATCCCCATTCATCAACGATCCACCTCATCCTCGATGAGGGGGCTCTTTTGAGAGGAGATTAGGCTGTATAACTACTGAAGTTTTTTCCGCCATTATGAAACTTCCAAAAAATTTATTCATCTTACACGAGCATCTTAAAATTTTCTCATAATCTGTTTGCAATTTAATTTTTAAGAAAGTACAGAATAACATATGTAATGGTAAAGAATAACAATACTTCAAGATTGTTAGATAAAAAACATAACCCTAGAGACGGTTACCATGGACACATCAAACAAGAGTCTTAAGTGGTAAAGCTCTCGATCTTCAGGTAAGCTTCCAACTGTATTGTTTCTAAACACAAGTCAACCGGAATTTTACCGATGATCCTTTCCAGTCAAGAAACAATCCATAGGCTCATTTACTTCATGATATTATTATTTTCATGTCTGTAAAAGCTTTAAGAGTTCGAGAGAAAGCACGCGGATTGCGTGTGCTCCTTGCAAGCTATTCAAGTGCGCCCACTCTCGTGCAGCTCGTGGCATTATGTAAGCATTTCGATCATTGAACATTTCTTTTAGTAAATAAGCCCAGAGGGAAGCACTGTGCATTAGTCATATAACAAAAAAAGTCTAACAAAAACGTAAGTTGCCCACGTCTGAAGAAATACATTTTAACCTAATAACGGTAATTTCTACGTCTGTACTGTTACTAGGGGGTTCTATTAGCAAAGGGTTTGATGTTTATAATACATACAGGCGATACTAAAGCACGTGTTCCTTTCAGCCGTCTAGGTTTATTGACCGTGAACAGATTTGTCATTATTAAGACATACAATAATGTCCAGTAGTTTTAGAAACTTTACTTACGATACTTGTAAATCAGGCATGTTTCTTAACGAAGTAGGTACTGGTTGTTAAAACATGACATACTTAAACCACGCTGTGGGAAGAATTGTTAGACACTGGTTGTTAAAACAGGCCCTACTTATACTGTGGGAAGAATTGTTAGACACTGGTTGTTAAAACAGGCCCTACTTATACTGTGGGAAGAATTGTTAGACACTGGTTGTTAAAACAGGCCCTACTTATACTGCGGGAAGCTTTACTAGACTCTATTATTACACAACAATGTAACTTAATGATTACTAATACACATCACTAGAGCTTGATAGTAGTAACTACTAGCAGTAACTTGAGCTTGATAGTAGTAATTACTAGCAGTAGCTGGAGCTTGATCGTAGTAATTACTATCAGTAAGTGGAGCTTGATAGCAGTAACTACTAGTAGTAACTGGAGCTTGATAGTAGTAACTACTAACAGTAACTGGAGCTTGATAGTAGTAACTACTAGCAGTAACTGGAGCTTGATAGTAGTAACTACTAGCAGTAACTGAAGCTTGATAGTAGTAACTACTAGCAGTAGCTGGAGCTTGATAGTAGTAACTACTAGCAGTAAGTGGAGCTTGATAGTAGTAACTACTATCAGTAAGTGGAGCTTGATAGTAGTAACTACTAGCAGTAAGTGGAGCTTGATAGTAGTAACTACTAGCAGTAACTTGAGCTTGATAGTAGTAACTACTAGCAGTAACTGGAGCTTGATAGTAGTAACTACTAGCAGTAGTTGGAGTTTGATCGTAGTAACTACTAGTAGTAACTGGAGCTTGATAGTAGTAACTACTAGCAGTAACTTGAGCTTGATAGTAGTAACTACTAGCAGTAACTGGAGCTTGATAGTAGTAACTACTAGCAGTAGTTGGAGTTTGATCGTAGTAACTACTAGCAGTAACGGGAGCTTGATACTGACTTTATTATTACTGGTCAACATTACTTAGGTGTTATGTTACTACGTGTCAACAGTCCTAAGACGTAACTCATTATTACATAGTAGCAATCATAAAATACTTTGGAAGTGGCATTGTTACAATTTGAAAAGTTAATATTTACAAAGAGGAGTTGTATTGTCTAACCAGTTGTTCAATTACCGTGTCTAGATTATAGTTAGAACAGGTGTTTCCCTCTTTGTAAATAGTTGTATTGTCTAGAAACATTTGTTCTAACCATTAATAAGTTTGTCCATCCAAAAATGACTAGAGTTCAGTTAACGACAATCATTTCCATCAGTCCAGATATAAGTTTGTACTGTAGTAACTATAATTTCCATCAGTCCAGATATAAGTTTGTACTGTAGTAACTATCCCTTCCATCAGTCAAGATGTAAGTCTCTACTGTAGTAACTATAATTCCCATCAGTCAAGATGTAAGTTTATACTGTAGTAACTATCCCTTCCATCAGTCAAGATGTAAGTCTGTACTGTAGTAACTATCCTTTCCATCAGTCAAGATGTAAGTCTGTACTGTAGAAACTATCCTTTCCATCAGTCAAGATGTAAGTCTGTCTGTACTGTAGTAACTATCCTTTCCATCAGTCAAGATGTAAGTCTGTACTGTAGTAACTATCCTTTCCATCAGTCAAGATGTAAGTCTGTACTGTAGTAACTATCCTTTCCATCAGTCAAGATGTGAGTCTGTACTGTAGTAACTATCCTTTCCATCAGTCCAGATGTAAGTCTGTTCTGTAGTAACTATCCTTTCCATCAGTCCAGATATAAGTTTATACTGTAGTAACTATCCTTTCCATCAGTCCAGATGTAAGTTTGTACTGTAGTAACTATCCTTTCCATCAGTCCAGATGTAAGTTTGTACTGTAGTAACTATCCCTTCCATCAGTCAAGATGTAAGTCTGTTCTGTAGTAACTATCCTGTCCATGAGATTGGCGTTGCTTGAAGACATAATTTCTGCTGATCATCACATAGGTTTAGGTTTCCCCGTGATCTAATATTAAAAGGCTGGCGTTATCAATTGTTTAGATGTTCTGGCTGAGCTAAAGTCGTGATGTAATCACGGGAAGAAGCTACTCTGGTAAACAAGGGTAAACAATGCCACAGAGATATCTATATACAGGGGCATATAATACCACATACATATCTATAAACAAGAGTAAATAATACCACAGACATATCTATATACAAGGGTAACTAATACCACAGACATATCTATATATAAGGGTAAATAATACCACAAACATATCTATATACTAGGGTAAATAATACCACATACATATCTATATATAATGGTAACTAATACCACATACATATCTATATACAGGGGTAAATAATACCACAAACATATCTATATACTAGGGTAAATAATACCACATACATATCTATATATAATGGTAACTAATACCACATACATATCTATATACAGGGGTAAATAATACCACATACATATCTATATACAGGGGTAAATAATACCATATACAAATCTATACACAAGGGTAAATAATACCACATACATATCTATATACAGGGGTGAATAATACCATATCTATATACTACTACTTAAACCGTTAAAGTAATAATTCGTAAGGACAGTTGTATATATTATCCAACAGGCGGCGCTTAGGCCAACGTTTCCATCCTATATGCCCCCCCCCCTCCAGTGGCTCAGCAGTAAGCTTGGGGTCTAGTAACACTAAAAATCGGGGCTCGATAATCGCACTTAAAAACAAACCCGCCCCCAGTTGGACTGTAGATCTGCAGGCTTACGGCGCTAATAATTGGGTTTCGATACCCGTGGTGAGCATAGCACAGATAACCCATTGTGTAGCTTTGCGCTTAACAACAACCAAAACAAGACTAAATTGGTCCTTCCCTTTATAGGTGAGACATTGAATTAGTATATTTAATTTTTCATAAGGTCTGGTGGTCAGGTCATCGGACTCGCAACCTGCAGGTCGCAACCTCGAATTTCGTCCTCGAACACGCTCGTCCTTTCAGCCTTGGGGGGGCTATATAATGTGACGGTCAATTCTACTTTTCGTGGGTAAAGGATCCCCTAAGAGTTAAAGGGGTTATGTTGACTGTATAGCTACCTTCTCTCTTGTCTATCATTTCAAAATTAGGGACGGCTGGCGCAGATAGTCTGGAGTAGCTTTGTGAGAAACTCAACAAAACTAACGTAATTTATCATTACAAATATGGCGCCATTGTGCGCCGTTTTTGCTGTATTTAATAACAGTCAAGCAAACAATCTCAGAGTTTTAGTAGTATATAGATTATGAGAACCTCACAGGTTTACCGCTAAAGTCGGCGAAACTATGGTAGAAACGTTGTATTACGTCATTAGATAATCCTACCAGCTGACAAGCTGGGTTTCTAGTCAAAAAGCTTTTCTTTTATTACTGTTCTCTGCTGTGAACAGCAATTTGGATGTTAACAACTTGTCTCTGGCTCATTGACGGCAGAAATGTTAGGACACTTTGTAGGAACCATACAAGGTTGTTTGTTTTTTTAATTTACAGGAATATACACTATTTTATGAGGGACCCATAGGTTTATGTCAGTCTATGATTAGATACCATCCAGAGAAGTTACGATTGAATTTTGTCAGAAAAGTTTGGTGATTTTTTACTTTAATTCAGACAATAGTCATGGCAGTGTATTATCTATGGAACACTCACCTGGTCATGGCAGTGTATTATCTATGGAACACTCACCTGGTCATGGCAG